TGTATCTAGTGAAGAATTTTTCATGAACAAAGTTTTTATACAAGCAAAATGAGAAGATCTGTTGATAAACCCCTACCCAAAGGATATTTAAAAGATAATCTGGACATAAAAAGAAGATTCTATATGGAAGGTTTGAGATTCAAGAAGGAATAATGAACAAAAAAAATTTAAACATAAATATAAGCAAACACCATACAAAGACAGTAAGATCTAATTTGATGGGAGAGGGGAATGGACAGAATTAAAACACAGTACAACAGCAAGTATTCTGAAAAATCAACTGTTGTTAAGCATACTCCAGTTCCATAGAAGATATCCAAAATGAAGCATGTACAAGGAGGAAAAAGAGAAAAGGCGATATAAAGTTGGGTCACACAAAATGGTAGAAATATGTTTAAATATATCAACAATGATAACAAATATAAGTAGATTAAAATTCTCTAAAGCTCAGATTAGCAAAATAAAGACATATGCTATATGCAAGAAACAGGCCCCAGACATACACAGAAAAAGTAGAAGTATGAAAAAAAGGACACTAAGCCAATACTAACCCAAACAAAAATCAATGTTAAGATATATTAATATCAAACAAACTAATTTTAGATGTGTGAGAATTTAACTATAAAATGTTTGACTTATGGCTGGGCATGGTTGTGCATGCCTTTAGTCCCAGCACTCAGGAGGCAGAGGCAGGTGGATCTCTATGAGTTCAAGGCCAGCCTGGTCTACATAGTGAGTTCCAGGCCAGTTGGGGCTACAGGGAGACCTTATTTCAAAAAAAAAAAAAAAGACCAAAAAAAAAAGTTTGACTTACAAAGTAGACACAATTCTAAGTCTGTATACAATATTAAAAGTCTCAGAATCTTCAAGGCAAATATGGGCATTAAAAGAATAACTGAAAAAGTCACCTTCACAGTTTTTAATATACCTTGCTATATAACTGATTTGTCACATGAAACAAAAAAAGTAACAGCAACAGAAATATCAAAATGGCATCATATTTAACACTTTAAATATTGCTCAAGAAAACACCAATTGGAGAATATGAGTTCTCTTCAAGTACCTGTATAGCACTTTGGGAAACTAAGTACTATGTCACAAAGCTAAGTCTCCCTAAAATTTAAAGACTACATTCTTTGACTACAGTGCAATAAAGTGAGAAACCAATTAACAAAAATGTAACTAGCAAAACTCCATATTTGAAATTTTAAAATACTGTCCTAAAAATGCTAAAAATCGGGGCTAGAGAAATGGCTCAGTGGTTAAGAGCACTGGCTGATCTTGCAGAGGACACAGGTTCAGTTCCCAGAACCCACATGATGGCTAACTACTGTCTGTAACTCCAGTTCCAGTGGATCTGACACCCTCTTCTGACCTCTGTGAGCATTATGTGACACAGATGCATTCACATGCATGTAGGTAATACATTCATACACATAAATTTTTTTAAATGCTAAAAATCTACATTATACATAAACATAAAAGGATCTATCTCAATGTTAACAAAAATAATTAAGCCACAGAATACCAAAGAACGATTCACTTATATAGATTACAGAATGTATTCGTTAATGTCACTACTATAAAGAGAATAAATTTAACATAAAATTCAGTTTATTAGCTATCTCTGGCTGGTAAGAGAACTGAGGAACTGAGTAAGGTAAAGAGTAAAGATACATCAAGGGCCTATTTAAGTCTATTGATGTCTCATTTCTTGAACTGAAACCCAGAAACTCAGATGATTTTTTCCCCCTAATACTAGGGATGGAACCAAGAGGGCCTTGCACATGCTAAGTGCTCTACCTCTGAGCTATACACCCAGTCTACTGTTTTAACTTTGAAACTATACATAAGGCTGACTAGACTCAGAGGATGAATAAGCACTGGGGAATGGCTGGGACACTGACAACACAGTGGACAGTAACAGGGATGACAGTATATGGGCTCCAGGTTGGGGGGAGCTATGGGAGGGTGCCATTTGGGATGCAGGTTATATAGATGAATGAGATTGTTTGGGATGTTCTGTATGAAATACACACACACACACACACACACACATCAAATTTTAAAAATGAGGGAAAAAAAAGGCTGGAGAGATGGCTCAGTGGTTAAGAGTACTTACTGCTCTTCCAGAGAAGCCAGATTCAGTTCCCAGCACTCACATGGCAGTTAACACCCACCCTTAACTCCAGTTTCAGAGGATCTAATGCCTCTTTTGGCCTCCGCCAGTACCAGGCATGCACTTGGTACACTTATGTACATCATACATGCAGGCAAAACACTCATACACATAAAATTAAAAGTAAAATCTAAAAACTATCAAGTTTACACACTTTTAAATGATACATAATTAAAATATAAAGAATCAATGTGGAGCCAGGCTTGGTGGCGCATGCCTTTAATCCCAGCACTTGGGAGGCAGAGGCCAGCCTGGACTACGTAGTGAGCTCCAGGTCAGCTGGGGCTACAAGAAAGAGCCTGTCTCAAAAAGACAAAAAAAAAAAAAAAAAAAAAAAAAAAAAAAAAAAAAGGGAAAAAAATAAATGTGGGGACAGAAAAATAATTAGATATCGCTATCTAAAAAGAGACATACGTAGACTTCTAATTTCTCTCCTTGCCTCTTCTATAAAAGCAGAATTGTTCTTAGTCTGTGAGACCTTTAGAAAAAGAACATTCTTTTCTGAGGTTTCTTACTATTACTGTAGGGATTCCCATCTTTATTGGTTAGGTATACTCACTAAAACGCTCCCACTTATCTTCTCATCCCAAGAGGTGTAAGACCGTATCAAGAAACACAAATCGGGCAGGCAGATCTCTGTGAGTTCCAGGCCAGCCTAGTCTACATATCAAATTCCAGGCCAGCGAGGCCTGCATAATGAAACTGTTTCAACAAAACAAAACAACAAAAAAACCCCACCACCACCAACAAAATAACACAGAGGTTCATCAGCACTCTCTAATGCCAGCACTGCATCTGGTCACTGAGCTCCAGTCAAAGGGTTTTGGAAAAGGGGCACTATATCGTGGCATGTACAAAGCATCCTGCAAATCTAGCCATGGAAAAGCACCCAGGATACAAGTGGCTTCAAAAGTCACTAGCAAGTTTATGCCCTCTACTGAAGAACTGAAGAAATCTGATTGTCACAGGCCTGGTACTATGACCATCCCTGAACTCAGACCCTATCAGGCTTCTGAGCTACTGATTCACAAACTCCCTTCCAGCATCTGCTGCAAGAAATTGCTTAGAATTCTAAAGCAGATCTGTACTTCCAGAGTGCAGTTACTGGTGCTTTATGGCAGACAGTGAGGTTGGTTGGCTCTTTGAAGATAACCTATATGCTATCTATGCCAAAGATACAACAATCATGCCAAAAGATATCCATCCAGCTGTTACCACACTGGATATGCAAAAAATGTGCTTATGAATCTACCATAAGGGGAACCATTTCATTCTCAAAAAAAAATTTTTTCCCTCTTCTTCCTGGTATTAGTAGTTCTTTGTTAGGTATTTTTCCCCATGAGGTCAAACGGTATCTAAGTGTATGATTGCAAGTGGGGAAAAGAGTGGACAGAAATCACATATTGGTAGTTTTTCCATTTTCACTTGTGAATTTTTAATATAAATGCAAGATAAAGCATTAATGCAAGTCAAAATATCTCAATGAACAAGTTTCAATAGTTTAACTTTATTATAAATAAGCCTGTTAAAATTTTTCTGGTAATGCCAGTATTTGGATTTTTAAAAAAATAAGTAAATTTCAAGCTGGACATGGTGGCGCACGCTTTTAATCCCAGCACTTGGGAGGCAGAGGCAGGCGGATCTCTGTGAGTTCCAGGACAGCTGGGGCTACAGGGAGACCCTGTCTCAAAAAGACCGAAAAAAAAAAAAAAAGAGTAAATTTCTTACTGTGGCAAGGAAAAAAGAAACAGAGGTAAGAAAGTGCTTTACCTGCATGTCACTTTTAGCAGCTTTCACAGCATCAAAGAGATCATTCGCTGGTGGCGCTGACTCTTTTTGGCCATTACCAGCATGCACTGTTCGTACTGTTTGAGACCCCTTCTTACGATGTTTTGCTACCTAGTTAAATATAAAAATACCAGATTTACAAAAACTATAAAAATGAGGCTAACACATGATTTCAAAATTACATTAAATAGGCTTAAGCTGCCAATTCCGAAGCAGTATTTCCATTGTTATTTCAAATCAGAAGTGATCAATTTTTGTATTAGTGTGAAATTTGTTATTCCTAACCTTTTTAATTTTTTTTTTACTTATTTTAAGACAGGGTCACATCACGTAGAACTAACTGGCCAGAACTTGCTATATAAGACCAGGTTGGCCTTCAACTCATGAGATCCACCTGCCTCTGGCTCCCCACAGTGATGGGACTAAAGGTATGTGCCACCATGCCCAGCCCTTTTCATTTCTTCTGGCGGCGGAGGGGGGGCGTTGGTTTTTTTGAGACAAGAGTCTCACTGTGTAGTCCTAACTGGTCTAGGACTCACTATGCAGACTGTGTTATCCCTGAATTACAGAGCTCTACCTGCCTCTGCCTTCTGACTGCTGGGATTAAAGGTATGTGCCACCACATACAGCTTTTTTTCTCTTTTTAAAGTGGTTTCTGTACCTCTCTATTCCAGTGCTCTCTTCCTTACTAATTTCTTACTCTGTCCCTATTACCTTAGGTTTTCCTTTGCTGATTCCTAAACTACATTCTAAAACAAAATAAAATCAACTCACTGGGGCTGTTCTGGGTGGTCGTTTTGCTGCTCTCTTCTTCACTTTGCGTCTCAAGCTGTCTTCAAAGTCACTGTCTTCATTAGTTGACACAGAGGGACTAGGCCTATGAGGAGGTATGGTTTCCCTTAAATATCACCCCATTTCTTCTCCATAAAAAGTTAATGGCTATAATTTGTTTGTCTCTAACCGTGCCATATCTACATGAGAAAAACATTCAGATTTTAATAGTTGAGGTTAATCTACAAGAACGTAGGGGCAAAAAAACTGTCACTTCAAAGCCATAGAGACGAAGAATGTGCAACTGAGAGCAGGGTGAGATGGCTCAGCAAGTAAAGGCACTTACTTCTAATGCCTGACAACCTGAGCTTGATCCCAGGGACCCCATGGAAGGAGGAGAGAACTAACTCCTGCAAACTGTCCCCGACCTCCACATGTATGCGATGGCATGCACCAAATAAATTTAATAAACATTTTTTTAAACAATGAGGAGCTGAAAAGGATGAGTAAGACAAGTAATATTCACAGGCATATTCACAGACTAGTATTTTGTGTAGAGTCAGAATGGCTCAGGAAGTCATTTATCACTCATACCTAATTAGATTAGTATGTACTTGGAGTTATATTTCACTCCTTGAAACATAACCACATACCTTAGTAATTAAAGCTTATAGCAGTGATATAATCTAGTCTCCAATAGAACTGGCAGAAGCAGAAATGATTCAGAAAAGGATAATTAAAATAAATGGGATAAAGATGATTGTGTATGAGATTAAGGATTTTTT